AGTCCTCTTGATTCGCAACTTTTGAGCTTTGATTGTTTTCAAGTAATTTTAACGATTGGCAAGCATATGTTGAAACTTGAATATCGACCAATTTTGAGCGTACCTATCACATATTCATGTAAGAAAATGAGTGAGGCATATAATGATATTCATTTGTTTGAGAGTTTGTCATTTCAAAGCCAAGTTGATATTTGAGGCATATGGTCGTACGGTCGTTGGAATTCGACTCGATTATAGAACAAAGGTTTAAGTGTGGGGGAGTTGTTTCTCCCATTTTTGTTGCGTTTTTCGTTGTTCTTTTGTCTTTCGTTGGTTTTTAGTCGGTTTTGTAGTTTATTGTGTGTTTTACTCTATTTTGGTCTTCTATGTGTTTTTCGTGTGTTTTTCCCCTTTTTTTTTTCCTTGTTTTTAGTGTGCAGGTCGGAATTTTCATGAGGAAAAGATTTTGCCCGAAAATTGACCGGGCAATCATGGTTGTGTAGACAAGTTCGTTGGCGACATATACGAAGAAGCGGAGCTCAATTTTGAGCTTGGACGAGTCCGAACGGGCCCAAAACGCGAAGTCGTGCAAAAGACGTCTTTGGTGTGCTGGTCAAGAGCTTTGAGAGAATGGGATTTCAAGAATAATTTGGCCATGTAAGCATCATTGAATAGAGGGGTTCGTTAGTGACGCGTAGGAGAAAACAGAACTCAATTCCGAGTTCGGACGAGCCAAAAACGCAAAGTCGTGCAGCCCAGTCCTCCTTAGCTGTGGTATGCTTCCTTATTGACGTCAGAGGCAAACAGCTAACCTGCCTTAGCGGCGCTAAGGTCTGTTTTTTATGCAAAAGTGCGTTTTTCTCAAACTTTTGAAGGGGGATGGGCATGAGGATCGAGGGGAAAGCATATTTAACCAGATTTCTCACCCCCAAAACACTATTCTTCTCCTCTTCTTCCTCCCCCTTCTTCTTCTTCTTTTTTTTTTCCTTTTTCTTCTTCGTTTTTCCTCCTCTCTTCATCTTTCTTTTTCATTTTTCTCCTTCTTCTTCTCTACATCTAAGAATTAAGCTTGTAATTTGGATTCAACTCTTGGATTGGATTGATTGTAAGTATTTTTCATCTTGTTTAATTCATGAGAATGGTTATTTGGGTGGAATGCTTTATTGTGTTGAATTCATGATACATAGCTAATTTTGATTGCTAGGGATAGGGGATGATTGTTCTCTTTTAACGTGTATTTGTCGGGTTTGAATTGTTCATTCTTGTGCGGGTTGATTTGATTACGAATTCATGAAATCTTGTTTGATTGATTGATATAATCGAAGAGTGACACTTCGATCTTACAATTGGAAACAATTGAATGTTCATTAGTCGAGTTAGGGTTTTGTTGATTCTATATGATTAGTCGATTAACTCTCTTCTAATTTAATTAGCAACTTTTAGAACCGAAAGGGGAGAAGCCGTAGACTTAGGCTCGCTTGAGGTAGATGATTTCGTAATTGAATAGTCTATAGGTTTTGGATTGAAATACTTGCTTGTCGATGACTCGTCCCTTGTTACGAATAGTTATTGGGATTGGGATAATTGGCATGTGTCGAATGCTTAAGTTTGTTCGTCTATGTTCAATCCTTTGTTACGAAGAGTTATTGGGAGCGAATCGCTAGATGCTTAAGCGAGAGCGTCAATCTTGAATAGAATGATTAATGTCCCGGTGTGCAAATAGAACTTGAATTAATTGTCCCCGACTCCCTAGCTTCTTTATCCTTGTTTCGTTTATATTTCTAGGTAGATTATTGATTTTTATTATTTCTTAGTTGGTAATTGCTCAACCCCCCTATTTGATTAGTGTGTTTAGGATTTGTTTTCTTTTTATGTGTTATCACTACCAAAGCTAAATTCCGAACCGCCTTCCTCGGGAGATCGACCATGGAACGAATCTTTTGATTCGATAATCGGTAAAAATAACAATTTGTGTTAAATCAGGCTTCTGGAGGCGAATCACCCAATACTACAATGAAAATGCTCAGGCGCGGAACTTTATTGAAAGATCTATGGAGTCGGCAAAATCTCATTTTTATGCTTTTCATAGAGATTGTCTAAAATTCAATGTGTCAGTAAATAGTTTTCGAGCTGACCAGAGGAGTGACAAAAATGTTGCTATTGTGTAGCAAAATGCATTAATGCTGGTAAGAGAAATGAAGCCTACAAATGGCTCCACCGTCGGGAAGTTTTAAAATCTATTCCTAAATTTCAAGGGTCATCAACGACAAGTCGAGGACGAAAAAAGTCTTGTCTGAATCGGGAGATCACACTTCTGGATCTGGCCAAGATTTGAAGTAGGGTTGTGATGATGATGAGAGATATGTGCGTCACCCAATTGCTCAGAAGGTAGTAAAGGCAGAGAAGAGAAAGGTAAAATGTGGCATGTGAAGTAACACTGATCAGAAAGCTGAACGTATGTTAGAAGTCTTTGGACATATTAAAGATATACTTGAAAAACAACAGAATGAACATAAAAATTTGGTTCCTATGGAATCTTGGAAGACCTTCTGAGAAATGCTAAAGGAGGACACTTCAACAATGACTGAAGAAGAATTATAAGTTGACTATGCACTTCTTGCTGAACTAGAATTTTAATGATTTTCTAATGATGATTGTGTATTGTATTTTATTTCTAAGTAGTTTGAGTTGTCTTTAATTTTAATTTGTACTTGTTTTTTATTTTTATGTATTCGATTTCTCCTTTCAGCGTGCTTTTGTGGTGCTCCAGTCAAGATGGGCAATTGTACGTCGCCCGACTCGTTTTTGGTATAAAGAAGATCTTAATGAAATAATGTTATCATGTATTATTTTACGTAATATGATAGTTGAGGATGAGGGTGATGAGATAACAAAAATGGTTCAATGATGAGCCTCCAGTCCAAGCACGACAAGGCCATGCAGGAAATTTTCGTCGGTACTTACAAATAAGAACCGAGATGCAAAGATCGACAAATTCATCATCAACTTAGGCACGACCTAGTTCAGCATATTTGGAATGAACCTAATTTACAGGAAAATAATAATATGGTTAATTTATGTTTATTTCATCGTAACTTCTACGTGCAATAATATGTATTTTTTTCTTTATTTAAAATTTTAAAAGTACCCCAATTTTTGCTAGCGTTTATTCTAATTTGAAAAAGCTCGTTTCAATTGTTTTTCTCAACAATCTATCTAACTCATTCTTATACAACAAAATTGATTTTTTTGGATACTAAACTAATTCAAGTTTTATTTTAACCGAAATAACATACCATTACTTCTATTTTGTTCGAGCAATGTTTCTTGGCGTTCGTTCTACTTCAAAAAACTCGTTTTCACTTGTTTTTTTTTTTTACAACTCATNCTTTTACCATAAAATTGAATTATTTTTTTTATCTATAATTAATTTCAATTTTGTTTTAATTAATAATCTATAATTATAAATAATGCAATATAGTTATATATAATTATGTTATTATTTTTATATGTATTTGTGATAATATACTAAACATTTAGATTAAATAAAAATAAAAGTGGAATTATAGTTTTAAAATATTAATAAAAATATATGAGTGAAATATTAATTATTAAAGTAAGAGGGAACATGTGGAACCCATAAAAAAAGAGGTTATTGAAGTTTATGTGTGTAGGAAGAAGAATGAGGTTTTGGTTGATGTGACACGTTGAGAATAAAGAAAGGAGGTTTGTGTATTTGTGTTAAGGCATACTGGTTGATGGGTATTTCGACTTTCGAGTGAAGAAATGAGATAATTGCTTGGACACCCGATATTGTATCTTTACTAGTATTCGACTTGTGCATTTGCACAGATATAAATAAAGTATTGTGAGTTATTTGTATTCATATAATGATTAATGATTTTTCTTGCACTTTTTTGCAAGCCAAATTTACAATTAAAGGAGCTGGAATATTTATTTTTTAATTTGCGTTTATCATATTGGATGTAATATATATTTTGTTATATAATTTTTTTTTGTAAATTATTTATTATTTATTTAGGAATTTCAAATATGTTTTTTATTTTCCAAAAGAAGTTAATTTAAATGTAACCACAACAATAACATCTAATCACGTTAAATAGTCAACACATTATATGGTCAGCTGTAAGTCAATCAAAAGTTTAAAATAATTTTTGTAATTTTGAAGTGATTAGTGTGTTGATTATATAATAATTAAATGAGAAGTTAAATAAATAAAAAGTAACAGTGTTTGGAGGGAAAAAAGTTATATTGCCACACATATATAATTTAATAGGTTTTATTAAATGTTCATAAGCCAGCAATTATATATATAGATTATGTTTTGGGCATTTTGGATGGGGCTTGCATTTTAAATTCTTATATACTAGGTAGTGCTACAAACGAACCTCACGTTCGCGAGCGAAAGTTTTTTCGAGCTCGTTCGTTTAATAATCGAGCCGAGCTTGAACATGTAATTCAACTCGTTTATTATTCGAACGAACACTAACGTTCGCGAACATAAACGAGTGTTCGTGAACAATATTATTTTTTTATAATAATAATAATAATAATAATAATAATAATAATAATAATAATAATAATAATAATAATAAAAGTAAATAAGCATTTCTTAAGTTTTGATAATTGAACTATTCGATCAATTCGAGCTAATTGAATGCTCGAAAAGTTGAAATAATTTCGATTAGCTAAACGAGCCGAACACGAACTTAACGAACGAAAACGAACATAAATTTAGGCTAGACTAGTAAAAGAACGAACTCGAACAAACTCGAATATTAGTCGAAATCGAGCTCGAACAATCCAAGGTCGGTTCAGTTCGGTTAGTTTATAATTTTAAAATAGATATCTGTGTTCACTTTCAAGTTTGAACAGACACATTGCCCCATTGCCTTGATGGTTTTCATCCTCCTAAAGTCGCTCAGAAAAAAACAGACCTCTGAGTAACCAAGGTAGTAAGGTTAGTATTCATTTTCTATTTCTTCAGCTTCACGATGACTGTTTTGTCTTGTCTTCTCCTGTGGGTTTTGTGGTCTTTTTCTTTTTCGCGTGTTTTATTTGTTGAATTTATTTAGCAGAGGAATTCTTTTTGCTATGTCTGATCTTAAAGTTAGCACCACGTGAGTTGCTTGCCTTTAGTTTTTTGATAAATTATCTACCACCTAGTTAGTTTCAGTGTCATCAAAATACCTGCCAGTTTCATCTTTATTCGGAGCACGCAGCAGGGGGCTTTTGTTTTTTCTTCCCTCATTTTAAATTTTTCGGTATTGATAACAGTAGTGGTTTGGTTGTAGACAGAGGGACAAAACTTTTTTTTTTCTTCGTTCGAATGAATTGCAGTTAGAATTTTGCAGACCGAGATTTTATTAGTGTTTCGATCCAAAAGACGTATTTCAATGTTTTATTTTCGATCAATTACTATTGTGCATGCGGTTGTATTTGAACTTCTTTTTGAGGGAACCAAATGATGGATCAAACATTTAAGGCTGTTTTATGCTTTCTAGTTAAGAATCCATCACTCGTCAGCTCCTACGTCTTTTCTTGCTAGGTTAAAACGTTTTTATTTGGGTTTATGTGATTCATAATAACTTGTTTTCTGTTTTAAACTGTCTTTGTTGTCCTAATGGCTACAGGTTGGGGATTTTTCAGGTACAATGGATGTATCATCTAGTCAGCTTTTGCTAGGGTTGTGTTTTTGTTGTTTATGGTGGTGACAATGTCGGATGTGCATATGTGCAATATGGTATGAGTGTTTTCTCCCATCTTGATCTTTTTACGTTCTCCATTCTCTATATGCACAATTGTTTACTGTGAATTCAAGAAGTCATAAACATTTGGCGAGCTTTACAAATAGAAAGCTGTACTGTGATGCTACTGATGCAGAGGTAAATATGGGTCTATTTTGATGATACCATATAAAAATTATGATTTGTTTGTAATGCTTGGAGGAAAAAGATTTGGTTTCTGAGTCTCTTCACCATAGTGCACAAAGCATCATCACGTTTTTCAAGTATTAAGTGTAATCAAATCGTTGTATTAAGAAATTAGGAAATGTACATAGATATGGCGTCAGCAACCTGCAATATCTGTCTTTATGTTTCATTGTATTCAGCGTCTTAGTGGATCTTTCCAATGCTTTTATTTGAAGATTGAAGATGCTATTTACATGCCTAGAGTTTGCAAGAAATTCATTATTGTCTTATTGGAAATTTACTACGTTGAGCCTCACGTAGAATGGGCTTAACCACAGAGTTCAAGCAAACTTTTGTAATCCTACTGGAGCGATTATTTTGCTGATTTCTCGTGAGCTAGTCTCAATGTGGTCATGTTACCTTGTTAATGCACTTTTAATTGTACGTGTTAACATAAATTCTTCCATTTTGATATTATATTGCACAAGAGTTAGTTTGTTACTTTGTACTATGTCAATGTCATATGTTTCAGTCGAGTTTTTTCTGGTGAGGAATTTAGTTGGTTCCGAGTCTCTGCTAGAGAGCACTAATGTGGCTAATATAAACAATCATCTCAGGGTATTAGTGACAAATGCTTGCGACATGCTGTAAATTTTGAAGCTCAGAGAGCATACAGGAACTTTTTAGGCAGAAACCTTAGGTACTTTTTGGCTGTTTATCCACTTATTTATTCTTTTCATGATCTTACATTACTCTATTTAAAAAGATTTGTTATTCTATGCAGGTTTGTAAATTTTATTCCACCAAATATTTTATTTTCATGCTTTAGATCTAAGCACAAGCTCACTGAGAAGTTGTTGAAGGGTGTAGATAGCTGTGAAAAGGTAAGTGTCATTTACAGTGATGGTTGACGTGATTTTGAAATTCATACCTTGAGCTTTTATTAGGTCAATATGTCTTTGACGTATAAATGCTTTTTAATTATCCTGGTTCAACCACTTTTTTGAATGAATTCTTTAGTAAATGCGCTCGTTCTTCCCTGCTCTTGTGGATGCTTTTTTGTATTGTTCTTGCTGTACACTGAGAAAGTGACACGTATCTGTTTTAAAATCACTGCTACCTTCAGAATTCTGGAAGTTCCATTTTATCTTACCATGAGGGAGTTTTGATATGATCTTTATAATTGCCTTGCAGAAGCCATCTTTGATCGGTTACAATGGCCTTGATGACTTAATTGTCAATGATAGATATAGAGAAAAGTTGCGTGAGAGTCTTAAGCTCGATAATAGTGAGTTTGATGCCACCTCGGTATGCAAAAGGTTCCCTTCCATTACTTTAGGTTGCTTTCCGACCGTGGAATTGTATGATGGGCCCGCATACTATTCTCAAATTCTTGAAGAATGCGATGCAAATTGGTTGGATCAAGAATGTATGTACAAAGATCTGCATTCTTTGTATGCAGAAATATCTAATATGAACGCGTCATATATTCCGGAAGAAAAGGTTGAAAAGCCCACTACCTATTCTCGGTTGTCTGTTGAAAGCACAGAAACAACAAATACTTCACAGTCGACTGCAGATAATGCTGTGCTTGAGATCCAACAAGCTGCAGCTTCAGTTGCAGAAATTCTTGATAAATCTATCAACTGCTTGCCCGGGCTGACCAAACGCCAGCTCAGTCAGCTGGAGAACTGTGGCTTTCACACGGTACGCTATCTTAAGATATAATGGATATTAACAAAAGGTTTAGCATAGTGAAAAAAAAAGAAACTATCAAGATTACAAATACTCTCCCAAGATTTGTAATACAGAAACCCTATTTTGTATCTTGTAAATAAACTGAACCTTAGGAATAGTTTTTGTAATTTATCCAGAGTTATTGAAGAACATTTCCTTTTGCTTTGGATGTTTTGGAGCTGATTAATCTGCTTTTCTACTCCTAGTTGCGGAAGTTGCTACACCATTTTCCTCGAACATATGCTGATTTACAAAATGCTGAGGTGGAAATTGTTGATGGACAGTACTTGAATTTTGTTGGAAAAATAAAATCTTCAAGGTAGAGCTGTTTATTGTACTGGATGTCTTTTAATCAACCTTTTGTTATTCATTTCTTAATCTACCCTTCCTTTTCAATTGTCGTGATATAGGCGATAATTTAATTATTCTCATAGTTAGGATGAAGATTTCATTTTCTTAACCTGATGAATTGCCAATTACTAGATTGATATTGGCGTATGGTACAAATTTTGTCGTGTAACTTCCATCTTGGAAGACTGGCATATCAAAAGCAGCATCTCGTGTTGTGATTGCCTTCAACGTAAATGAATCTCACTCATAGTCATTTTTTCACCCAGGGGAATCCGGGCTAGTAGTTCATTCTCATTTCTGGAGGTGATTGTGTCGTCTGAGGTTCCGGATAATGGGCCAAATTCTGAGTCAGCAGCTGATCAAGTTGAAAATAGAAGTATGAGAACAGTACAATTGCATTTGAAGAAATTTTTTCGTGGTACCCGCTTCACATGCATGCCATTTCTCAGAAGTATCCAGGAAAAGTACAAGGAGGGAGATATCGTGTGCGTCAGTGGCAAGGTGGAGTATTTCCTGTTAGTAGTTCATTATTTTTACATTTGAAATCACTTCCTGTGAATAACTTATACGACTGATTTTTTAAGGTGCGCGCTATGCGTATTACCGACCACTTTGAGATGAGGGAGTTCACCATTGATGTGGTTACAGACAAAGATGATTCGTGTGTTCTTGCAACTGGGAGGCCTTATCCTATTTATCCTTCGAAAAAAGGTCTCAACCCTGAGTTTCTGAGGGATATTATCTCAAGGTTTCAAATTCTGAACCTGATTTCGTATTATTAACTAATTCTATGTGGTTAGGTCCCCACTGATATATTATATCCTTAATTAGGAAATCTGTTTATTATTGTTTCTCCACGAAATTGGTGGCTTTATGATTATTTAATTCTCTCAATTTCAGCTATTCTTTCATGATTTTACCCAATAAATGTCTTGCCATTGTTTCTTTCAATAGTAATTTCTGCTTCTTATTTTATTCCTAGATGAGAAATTAATAAAGCTTGAAAAATGAATCTTTCGAAATTGTTAATGCAGTTGACTGGAAAGAGAATCGATCTTATTTATTGAACAAGAATTCGTATAATTTGACCTCACACCAAATTTGTATGTGGACTAGATTCAGATTGTCGCGTTCTCCTGTGTTGTTTCACAAGGTTCACTCTCGTCTATCTGAACTATGTATTCCTTCTCTAATGCAGTGCATATGTACATTTTTCAGAGCTTTAAAGACATTGCCAGTTGATCTTGATCCTCTACCTAAGGATGTCACTCAGGATTTTCAACTTCTCTCACTCAGAAATGTATGTTGACTGGTTCTTGAACATTGTTAAAATTTTGTTTAATAGTACATATCCTCGTTGAGGAAACTGGAACTTACATCTTATATAGAAACACTACTTATATGTTAAAACCCTCAGTTTATATAATGTTAGAAATTCAGTAGGTCTGGTGTCAAGTAGCCTATTTCATTGGCCAGACATACGTTATCAACAAAAAATGCTCGCTTATACCATAAGATTTCATATTTTTCAGTAACAACATAAAACAACTGTTTAACTAGTTTGGAAAAATTTGTTGTTTCAAAGTGCAAGTATACATTTTTGTTAAAATATTATGTCCGCTTGACCCCCCTGAGCATTAGGCTTACTAGCTGCAGCATTTCTGCTAGAAATTAAATCTTCTTTCCATGTGAACAACGCAGGCATATGCTGGAATCCACCAGCCCACTGATTTGGGCATTGCCGATTTAGCTCGACGAAGGCTTATCTTTGATGAGTTCTTCTATCTTCAGGTATAAAGGCATGTTTTTGTTGTCTGTTAACTCTTTTTATACGAATTTATTTTACGGAATTTTTTCAACGTTGTCCTTCCTCCATGTTGAATTTAAAATATGTAAGAGATATCTGTATTCTTGAGTCGAACTAAATATTTTGATTTAGCAAAAGTTTTGCCTTTTTTCCTACCTTGTATGTTAGTTCATTGTCTTCTGTAATTTCCAACTTGAAATGTTGTCTTTTCAGTTGGGAAAGTTATATCAAATGCTTGAGGGTCTTGGTACAAAGGTAGAGAAAGATGGGTTGATTGAGAGATACACGAAACCCCAGCTAAACGCATCATTCATGGAGGAGTGGTCCTGTATCACTAAAAACTTCATGAAGGTTCTTCCATATAAACTTACGGCCAGTCAGCTAAGTGCAACTTCAGAAATCATTTGGGATCTAAAACGACCAGTTCCAATGAATAGACTATTACAGGTTCTGGGTTTATCTTTTCATTCATTTTTTCTGGAAAAATCATTTCATAATTCTAAAAATCCTGTATCCAATTTACATGAACATTGACAGCTGTCGTACTCTATTTAATTTCTTCTCTCTTTCATTTTTCTGTTATTTTATTATTAGTATTAATATTATCAATATCTTTTGGCTGTAAATAGGGTGATGTTGGATGTGGGAAGACTGTGGTGGCATTTCTAGCATGCATGGAGGTCGTCGGCTCAGGATACCAGGTGATTAATTATTACCTTTGCTTCATATTTCAGTTCTAATTTAGCCCATTGACAGTACATAAATTGATCATATTTTCATTTTACATGCAGGCAGCTTTTATGGTTCCAACTGAACTATTAGCTATCCAGCATTACGAGAACCTTCTTGGCTTGCTCGAGAAAATAGATGAAGCCAGTCAAAAACCTTCTGTTGCCCTATTAACAGGCTCAACCCCGACAAAACAAGCACAAACCATTCGCAGGGTATTTAATTAAGGCACAATTTGTCCTTACTCAACTATTCATTTTCTGAAATTAAACTTACTAATTTCATCTTTTTGGTGATTGTATGAATAAGGGTCTGCAAGCTGGAGATATCTCTATGGTCATTGGAACTCACTCTTTAATAGCTGAAAAGGTGGAATTTTCAGCTTTAAGGATTGCCGTTGTAGACGAGCAGCACCGTTTTGGTGTTGTTCAAAGAGGTCGCTTTAACAGCAAGGTACCTAGTTTCCCTTGACTTGTACAGCATCGCGTATGTGGTTGCTGCTGGAAATTGTCGACACATGGCCCTTCTTCACATATTTGATTAGGATTATTTACAAAAAAAACTGCTCTTGAAGTTAAGCCTAATTAGAGGAGAAACGAAAAACAGTAAGGGTGTGATTAAATATGGAATTGATTGGTTTTTTTGTTAACCATAGTTAATTTTGAAAAAGGTAGTATGGCTAGTTGTTAGTGGAAATTTAAGTTCAAGTTAAAATATTATTTAAAATAAATTAATTAAAGTTGATTTGATGTAAAGTAGGAAAAAATGATTGGAAGTGATGATTAATTAAAATTATGTGAGTAGATGAATAGTGAATTAAAGTTGATGTGATGTGTAAGAATGATTGGTTGATATTATTTAGTTATATTGATAATATTGAGCATAGTATGGTTGAGTTAGAGTTGAGTTAAATTTGAGTTTTGATTGATTTTTTACTAGTCAAGTTTATATCCAATCACACCCTAAGTAGTTCATTTTAAAAATTAAAAATTAACCCCACAATCCGTCTTTACATTTCGCACCTGCTATTTCTGGAACTAAAGAAAACTACTGACACCAAGTATTTCATAGTTACATGCAAGGACATCTACTGTTCTAGATATTACAAATGGCCCCAACTTCTTGTCCTATATTTTATATTGCATCCCTCAGTTTTCTTAAAATGTGAAAAGTAGCAAGAAAGTGGGGCTATTTGTAAAATCTAAAAATTTTGAAGGGTGTAATTGTACAATAATTGATGAATTTAGCCATTTTGTTTAATATTTCAACTTTGGTGTTCTTTTTATTTGGCTCTTTCTTTCTTTTTTCCTCCTTTTTTCACAAAGTATTTTTTGCAATCATGCATTTTCTCAAATTAAATATATGTTTTTGCTTGCCTTGGGTGCTCTGGTTGAACACAATTGTACTAATTTTCTGTTATTTTAAATTATCATAATCTTGCAGCTATATTTTAACGTCATTGCTTCCCAATTGACGCCGACCAACTCAAATGGTCCTCATATAACTGATGTTGTCATGGCTCCACATGTCCTTGCCATGTCAGCCACACCGATCCCAAGGTCGCTTGCCCTGGCGTTGTATGGCGACATGTCCCTTACTCAGGTTTTTATATGGCTCCAACCAATTGAAAGTTTGTTGTATTTGGATACAGTGTGTTTTCGCCACTCTGCTCGTATTTCTACTAACCACAAGCCATATCATATTATTATTATTTTTATATCTTTATATCCTATAATTTTTCATCCTCGCATTTTTGTCTCGTAATCCAATTGTTCTGGAAATTCTTTCTTTTGACCTGGGAAAATGAAACTAATCACACACGATGTTTATATTGTTTCTAGATTCTGATGATCACCGTACATTTGCTTTCAGCACCTCAAATAATTTCCTCATGTTCTACTTTTTACGTGGGCCTTCAAAATTTAATGACAGATTACTGATGTACCACCTGGAAGAACACCTGTGAAGACATACGTAATAGAAGGAAACGAAGAAGGATTCGAGGCGGCTTACAAGGTAAACATTTCAATCCAATAACAGTTCCATTCTTTATGTTCACAAAGTGGTAATATTACAAAAGCTACAGCAGATATAAACTATAGTTGTTAAAACTAGACTAACTAAAATAAGGCTACGTTTGGATTGATGGATTTATTGAGGGATTTGAAATCTATAGATTTTAAATTTACAAGTTCAAATACCCATGTATGTTCGGATGATAATAGAAGTTGGAAGATTTCGAATTCACTCTACATAGATTTTAGTCATTATTTTGAAGGATTTTAAATGACTCTTTAAACATAGTTATTTGAAATCTATTGTTTATCCTACCGACGACCACACCGTCCGCGGGTTTGACTCTTCATTTAGATTCATCACCACCGCAAATCAGCATCGTCGATGCAAGCTAAACAATGGATTTATAATATTTTCCACAAATCCATTCAAGGAGTTTGAAACTAGAAAATTTGTATTTCTAGAAATTCTAAATCAAGGGATTTCAGATCTCTCTATCACGGCATTTGTTTATCTTTTGCAAATTGCACCCCCAAGTAAAAACATATTTTTTTGGGTAGAGTGTGTTTTTTAATGCGTTTTGTATCTTAATGCTTCACAAGATGATTGATAATTTGTATGGCTCCAGTATTATCATTATCACAAAGAGGTGTACGAGCATCACATGGAATGCCGAAATCAACTAATAACCATAAAAGCCATATAAATTTGAAGTGGTAGTAGCAAGTGCTCAAAGTTCTTCCTCTAGACCGAGATACAATTGCTTGTTTCTTGGAATTTCATGTAAGAGGAGAAGAACTAAGAAAAATGCAATAACCAATAAGGAAGTGACGATTAGATTACTCGCCCAAGAAGAGTTCGAGTAAGCATGAAGCTAAAGCGGAGTATCACGAGCATAAATCAACAAACACCGAGACAATGTTCCTTAAATACCGTAACGCACGAAGCAAATGCCTAAAATGAACCGAAGTAGGAGCACAGACTGATTAACGTCTCGTAACAATAAAATAAACCAGATTGCCCACAATATGCCGATAGCAAGAGGGGTCCTCAAGAGGCGTACCATTAATTGGACAAAGCCGCAAGTGAAGATCCCTAGGTGTAGCCGCTATCCGATTATAAGTAATACCATAACAAACAACAACATAACGAACAAAAAGATCTACTAGTATGTATTTGTATGTATTTGGACTTGGAAAGGTAATATCCCGAGTCAGAGTGCATCACCTTGATGCCTAAAATGTAGCTAAGAGGACCCAAAGTAGACATGCTTCTTGACATGAGAAATATGGTCTGCATAATCTCCCATAATCAACATTTCAATTTTCATCAACATATAGAAGTAGAGTACGTACACGCAGAGAGATGAATAAACAAAGTAGGATCATACGATAGGGAAAAACTAGTAGCCCGTATTACAGAGACACAAAGCTCAAACCAAGCACCTGTTTGAAACCATATTAAGCGCGACGAAGACGACAAACATGTCTGAAGAAGGCATCAACACCCACCGGTGTCTGTCTGCATATAAACTTTCTCCTACAAAGGAAAACTTCCTCGTGTAGAGCACCACACCATGAAGGAAAAAAAATTCTTCACATCCCATTTGAGATATGGTTCAAGAACGAATAGCAGCCACTACAATAAGAGTACGGAGAGTGGTCATACTAAAAAGAGCAAAAATCTCATCATAATCTCGTTCCTGAGTATGCTAAAAGCATCTAGCAACAAGACGAGCTTTGTACCCTCAATGGAACCATCTGACTTGGTCTTAATCATAAAAGTCCACTTACAAGTGATAAGTGATTGGTATGGTATGTGATGGTAACAGGACAAGGTCCCATGTGCTAGTTCGAGAAAGTGTAGCAAGCTCCTCAAACATAGCTAGCTGCCACCTAGAATACCCGAAGCTTCTTGATGGCTCATCAATAATAGCACAAAAGTGGAAAACTCGACCGAGAGTCAGACACAAATCATTAAGGACGGGAGCATCAGGACTGGCCGAGGCACTAGAGTGATGAGGCGGAAGCGTTATGGGACCTTTTGGATGACAAGTATAGACTTAGGACATGTTTGTTGGCAAAGATTGGATATGATTAGGCCATTAATCTAGCTTAATCTCACGTTTGTTAACCATGATTTCAGCTTGTTAGACTATGATCGGCCCGAGGTAGGCCAACGAGCATAGTCCGTCATTGTTTCAAGGGAGAGGGGAAGAGTGAGAGCCATGGAATCTTCTTGGAAGCACCCAATCTCTGCTCAACTTCCTATCAGTTCTCCCTCCCCATTTCTGCTCATGAGCTCCTTTCGTTTGAATGATAGATTTAGTTTGTTTTTAAGTCTATAATCATACTTTGTAATTTGGGTACGTGACAATAAATCTCGAGATTTGCAGCAATTGTTAATTTTGGACGAGTTTGGTTTTCCGAGTTAGTTAATTTTGTTTATGTTTTGTGGTTTATCAATTTTCATTTCAACCATCTTGTTTTATCTTTTCTCCTAAAAAAAAGAGAAGGAAAAGTGAGAGCAAACTTAGAGCAAGATTGCATGTTTTTTCAGAACGAGATCTTGTTGAAGGGAAGGAAAAGTGAGGGGGTTATTGGTGGATTGTTTCGTCTTCAATTTTTGTTGATATCAGGGTTTGGTTTCGAGCAAAATTTTGATCATTTTTCTTAACTCAATGGCTTTGTTATCATTGGAGGGTATAGAAGTTCAAGAACTAAATATGAATGAATGTAAATTCAAGAAAATTTAGGGATGAGATTAAGGGCTAAATTTGTCAATATAGGAGTCTTGTCATAAACACATGAACTAAATCAAAAAATAAAATTAAAAATTCAAATTTTAAATTAGAATTCCGGCGCCGAATCGTTGGGCCTAAACCGGAACCGGAACCGAAACCATCGATTCAATTTTCCTAATAATATGAACCAGAATCGAAACGAACTAAAAGCTGAGCCGGTTAAGATCTATGGTCAACTATGGTCAACGGGCTGAGCCGGTTCCGAATCGTTGTTATGACTAGTTAGGACTAAGGGAGATGGTGAAGGAAATAGGATGAATACATAGGAACGACGTAAACTCTGTAGAAGGAGATGACGTTGATTTTGTAGAAGAGTTATAGAAGAAAGGACGGTCCTCGAAAAGCTTATATCATCATGAGATATACGTAAGCGAGCAACACTAGCCTCGATAAAAAAATGAAGTTGCTGCGACGGGAAGCGTAGGACCACGCGAGAGAGGAGTGATGAGAGAAAACATGAAATGACAAGTGTCGAGATGGATTAGAGTACACGAACCCTAAGCCCGACGAGTGCCTGATCTCAAAAGGCCGAAAGGAACACATTTAGGCAAAACTTACCATTATTATTTGTAGAGGCACGGACAAACAGACCCCTTAAATAAATCTGGAATTATAAAATGCTGAAGTAGCTAAAAATAAAAATAAAATACCCTTAAAAATTGATTTGTATGACTACCATTTACAAAAGCGGAACTAAAAATGATCTAATTGTAAGCTAAATGGATTAATATATATAAACAAGAAACTGATGGTAAAAATAACTGCAAAAATCGAACCAGGTTCATCTGACAGAACCAAGCGTTTTGGATTGCCCTTTAAATGCATCTTTAAAGAAACTAAAACACGCGGTGCTCAAAACTCTTTCCAGATGATGCTTGAAGAATTACGAGACGGGGGCAAAGTATACATGGTGTACCCCGTGATCGAGCAATCCGAACAGCTGCCACAGCTGCGGGCCGCCTCAGCCGATCTCGACACCATCTCCCGAAAATTCCCAGACCACAAATGCGGGCTTCTTCACGGGCGCATGAAATCCGAGGAGAAAGACGAGTCCCTCAGGCAGTTCAGGTCAGGAAAGACACACATTTTGCTCTCAACACAGGTGATCGAGATAGGAGTTGACGTGCCAGACGCTTCCATGATGGTGGTGATGAATGCCGAGCGGTTCGGAATGGCCCAGCTGCACCAGCTGCGGGGAAGAGTTGGCCGAGGAGAGAGAAAGTCGAGGTGCGTTTTGCTGGGGTCGTCGGAATCCGGGCTGAAGAGGCTGAGAATTCTGGAGAAGTCGTGCGATGGGTTCCAGCTGGCGAACATGGATCTTGTTATGCGCGGCCCTGGGGATTTGCTCGGGAAAAAGCAGTCGGGCCATTTGCCCGAGTTCCCTGTGGCTAGGCTCGAGGTCGATGGGAATATTCTCCAGGATGCTCATCTTGCTGCCCTGGTTAGTCTTTTAGCTTCAAACTATTTCATTTTAGGCAAAATTGCATTTTTAGTCTCGCTGGTTTAACGCCGTAGCATTTTTAGTCCCAAGATTTCAACTTTTTGACTTTTGGTCCTGTAATTTTAAATTTTGTTGCATTTTCAGTCCCAAAGGATTGAAATTGCGTTGAATTTTAAAATCATAGGACCAAATAGCGAAAATGTTCAATTCTTAGGACTAAAAACGCCACTGGATAAAACCAACAGGACGAAAGTTGTAATTTTGCCTTCATTTTTTCACCATTGTTGTGTATTTTGTATTTTTATTTTTTTTTAATATTTTATGCCTGATGTGAACCTTGTGATCTTGCATTTGTCTTAGGGTGTGTTTGTNTTGGTTTGATTAATTTTAAAAAAGGTGGCATAGTTAATTGTTAGTGGGATTTTGAGTTTATGTTGAAATAATATTTAAAATAAAATAATTAAAGTTGATTTGGTGTAAAAGTAGGAGAGAGATAATGTGAAGTGATATGGTTACTTAAAATTATGTGAGATAATGAATAGTGGATTTAAAGTTGATGGCATGTGTAAGAATGATTGGTTGATGTTATTTAATTATATTGATAATTGAAGGGAAAATGTTCCTAGTACATAATAAATGTACATAGATGTGTAACACTCACATAGAGTCGGGTCCACTTAATTTTTTATATTTGGTGGGTCCCACTCAATGTGAGTGTTATGTACATCCCTATGTACAATGTTATGTACTTGTAGCATTACTCATATTGAAGATAGTGAGGTTGGATTAAAGTTGAGTTAGATTTGAGGATGAATTGAGTATAGATTGATATATTTTATATATTGAGATCTGTTGAATGGTGATCACTTATGGCTCCAATGCATGCTGGGCCGTTTTTACTTGGCAAATATATAGAAATGTGATTTTTAAATTTAGAAAAGGAAAATGACCACGATGACTTGAAATCCTCGTTGTTTTTTTGGTTGCAGAAAGTTCTGGAAAAGTCCCATGACCTGGAGATTTACCCGGACCTGAAAGCCGAGCTTAGCATGCGACAACCACTGTGTCATCTTGGAGACTGAACTATGATGCATCCATGTATATTTGTATTTATTGCCGTTCGTGCAGCTTTCTTCTAGGAGAACATCTGTTGTAAATAACAGTAAGTTAGCAATTAGCTAAGCACTAGCCTTTGTAAGTTCTTTTGTGTTACAGTTACAGCTTTTTTGCTGACTTAGGATGAAACCATGTTTAGGTGAAGCTACACTAAGCCCCCGAAACATTTTGCGAGTTGCCCCAAAACTTAATTGAAATTTCGCTGTACTTCATATAAAATGTTCAAATTCTTCACTTTGCACTTGAATGCGAAATCATGTTAACTTCTTACCTCTTAGTGATCCTGGAGAGCAACTGGTATAAGAAGACAGGAGGTTCGGTGTTAGATGTGTATAGTTTGAGGGTTTTAGCGTTAATGAACTGAGAAACTTAGAAAAGTTTTTAACCTGTTCAAACTGAGCGAATTAATATTGGTAAGTACAATTTGGAAGAAATGTGCAAATAAAATACAGAAACTTGTATTTGTGGGACTTTTTACATAAAAACAGTAAATGCGTTTACATGACGAAAAGAATAATTAAATTTTTAGGATTCATATGTGAGCAGCATGAAAGAAAGAAAAAGAAAAAAAGATGAAAACTCCCGAGTTTAATTAACCGGACTTGATTAGTCTAGCTGGGATTGAAAACGCGACATGGGATTGAATGAAAGGAATTAGAAGTGGATATGCACTGAGACCATAGTGCAGACTGCCGGCCGACTACCAAATGAATGATTACAAAGACAACCGCGGAATAATAGCTAATTTATATCTATATCTATATTTATATTATCTATATAATAGATCAATCTTTGTTACTATAATTGGCATAGTTTTAGGTAAAAAAATATTTTCATCTATATTTAGTATATACAGATCTGCTTCCCTACCCATGGTGGGCATGAAATTAATATTCTCACTGTTTATGTGGCGTGTACACATTAGACATAAGTAGTGGAGAGAAAAAAATATGTCCAATGTGTACATGCCACATAAGCAATGGGCATGTTAATTCTCTGTCCACCGTGGGTAGGGGAGCAAATCCGTTAATATATAATTAATATTTTTTTTTTATTAGCAAAGTTTATATATGAACATTAATTATTTTTTGTTTACTCAATTACTAATATTCATTAGTAATTAATTGACTTAAATAGAATATTGGATGATTACATATATTAAGATCATAATATTAATTTGAATGTAATTTGTTGACAAAATTGAAACAAAATATTCATTATAATTATAAAAATGATTTGATTAATTATATTATCATCTCATAGTTGTAAATATTAATTTTATTAACTATGTTCACCGATCAGAAGCACTTAATATATATATATATATATATATATATTAAATAATAAGAATAATTGTGTTTGAATCATATTAACTGAATGAATAATTTTACAAATAATAAAATTTGCTAAAATATAGTGAACTTAACCATAAAAAAAATATATCTCTATTAGATATATCATTTGTGTTGGGACTACTATTGAAAATCAAAATTTAATATATTGATAAATTTATTATTTGATGGTCGGGGTGATAGTTAGAATTATAAGTTTAACATTAAAATATCTATATATGTCATAAAACGATTTAAGTAGCAAAAAAATATAATTTTTATTATGTATTGGTTAATAAAAAATTGAGTAAATAAGATAATATAGTCAAATATCGTAAGTAAAATTATAGCATTTGGTAAAAATTGAAATATAGAATTGATCTAAATATTTAAAATATATTAATACACTTATTATATATGTTGAAAAAATGAATTAAGGAAATGTATAAAAAATATTTACTGTGAAAAAATTTTGTTTCATAAGACTATAATTTAGATTTAGTTATCAAACAATTAATATTTCATGCATCCAGAACTATAATATACGAAAATAAATTTTATGGTTAAACGTCGATAGCATTATGCAAAATATGAATTTATCAAAAAAAGAAAAAAAGGTTAGAAAATCAAGATAATCAGTAATTTTATAAGTAAACGTAGGTAATTTATATACAAATATCATATTTAAAATCTTAGATAATTATAATATTTTATAAATTTATAAATAGTAATATTTATATATTAAATAGTCAAGGCCTACAAAAATAAATTCAAATAATAAAAAATATTCAAATAAACTTTATATTATTATTGACTTGATATATTATGTCGGATAAAATTAACATATTATCTTAAATAATTTGATAATATTTAATAATAAAAGATTAATTTATAAATATGCCGTGCATCGCACGGATATCAACACTAGTTTTAAAAACTGAGGTGGCCCCAAATGCATAATTTATTTTTTAATAATGCTAACATATATATATATATATATATTACCATATATACTAGAGAGAGATTTACTTGAAACATATTGAATTTCCGCTTAAAATTTATTTGGGAAAATGACTGTCGAATGAAAATTCGAATTCAAGTTCAAAAAATTTGTTATTTTAAAAAGATATTGAGTAAACCTTAATTTCTGAATACATGGTCATAATATTGACCATAGAAATTTGTTACCATAATTGTCGGAAAAACAAAGGAGTATCTTCTTCAATTTCGTTTCACAATATTATTGGTAGAGATAATTTAGAAAATATATTTTACTAATCCTAATCTAAATATATATCAAATAACTTAAAATAATTTTGAACAGGACATGATCCTGCAATCCCAAAAATTATAGCTATCAATCACTCATACATAAAAAATATATATTGAATGAAAAGTTATACAAATACAAAATGATAATAATAATAATCTATTCTCTTATCCCCTTATATATTAATTCAAAATGTGCTGAGCCTAAGTGGCAGACTTGTATGCCTCGGGATCCTATATGGCAAAATTACATGTTTCATTATTTGGCTTGGGTTGATTTTAATTTACTTCCAATCCAAAATTAATTAGGTTCGGAATATCCATAAATATGTTGATTATTTATGTCATTTACATGTATTAATTGCATTGTAATATCATTTCTTAGTAGAACAATTAAATTGTAAATGTGTTGTAATAGTTCATAACTCCCAGCGATCGCGCCCTTGACAACGTGACGTGTAGCGGCCCGACAACGACTCGGCGATCGCGAGTATCCTGACGATATAGACGATCTCCATCAACGGAAATCTATAGCGTCTTAGAGAGACTGCTGCGACATAAGAGACTCAAGCGGTAAAGCTGACAAGTAGGATGTCGATAACCAATCTCAGCGTGAGTCCTCCCGCTGACCTCCTTAGCGCCACCCCAGTCTCGTCGGCGTCCACTCCTATCTCACCGGTAGCCTCATCAGCGTCCCCTTCTACCTCGTCTGTTGTTGTTTTCTCCATTGTGTTGAGTCGTGGTAGTCACAGACGATCGTCGCGCGTAGCCCAGATCCTACAGTACTCATATGGCAAGGTCACCATATATGCCCTCCCCGCCACCATCTCCGCTCAACCCGACTCCGACGAACCGCGTGGTTCAGAATTTCTTTTTCGGGTCGCAGAAGGAGTTAGGGATAGGGCTTGGTAGGAGAGGATGTGTGCGAGAGTGGCTGGACAGACGGGATGGTGGCGGTGGCTGACAGGGGATATTTTTTTGTTGAGAACATTTTTTTGGAAAATTTGATACGATTAAGGAACTTATTTGAGATTTATTATCTTTTAATATATTTTCACTTTTGTACATGGGAAAATTCTATAATTTAGTGAATGATCAATAAATGTACAATAATTAAATGCAGAATAATGTTAAATACGATGCACATTACCGCCTGAGGACATGCACATAAAAAATCACGTAATATTTTTTTACGAAATTATAGAATTTCATCCGTCTACATCTAAAATTTCACATTTCAACCAAAATGGCACCGCGCTTAGGGTTGCTCATTGATCAAACCAAATGACCGAAATAATCGAGTCGAACTTTTGGAAAAATCAATCCGACCGAAATCTTGTCACAAATCAAAATAAAATCAAACTGAAAACTGCCATTGAACCGAAATAATCAAAACTTAGTAATAATAGATAATCGAACCGAAATATATAAATTCAAACCAAAAACATTAATTCGGTCTGTTTCAGTTGCTATATTGTGCAGTCTGACAGTCATTAATGTGCAAGTCATCTAACATTATTGTGCACTAGCATATGCATTTTTAATGTTTTGTCCCACCAAACTACAACCGAACCGAACTAATCGGCTTAATCGATCGGTTAACCAAATTAACCTAAATAATTAAAATATTTTACTATTAATATTATAAAATATATTTAGTATTTTAATATTTATACTATTTTTGACGAAAAGTTATAATTAATATATATATATATATATATATATATATATATAAAGCTATACAAAAAAATAATAATATTTTCATATAGTTCAATCTGTTTGGTTATTTTAAAAAGTAAAGCCGTCATCGAACCAATATAACCGAATTTTAAATGTACAAGCATATAATCGAACTGAAGTATAAAATTTCAAATAAATACTTTTAGGTCAGTCAAGGTAGCTATTGTGCAGTCTGGCAAAAATTAATGTGCATTTTGTCTAATACTATAGTGCAATTATGCAGTGCAGACATTTTTAATGCGCTTATACACACGCAATGTTGTGCAAATTACTTAACATTAATGTGCAATTATTAATTTAAATAATTATAGATTTGACACATGAACTAAATTGTAATATAAGTAAAATCCATAAACTTTGCAGTTAAGTCCTTGGGACTTAACAAATTTTCAAATGAGATTCATATGTCCAAAATCAAATTCCCATCGTCCCTTTTAGATTCGCGTCGGCCTCATACTTGGTCAATCGACGATCGACTTCCGGTCTCGCCACTCCCTGTAAGATTCTCCCCGCGATCCGCCTCATATAGCTGCAGAGTCGATTGTGCGTGGTGGTGGGAGATGGGATGACGAGATAACCAATTTCATGGCGGAATGAATTTTGTGATGGCGGCGGTTAATTTTTCATCAGCGGTGGTGAGGGAGGCGCGACGACGACAAGACCGACATTACCGTCATGTTTCCCGGTGGAGCCACTTACGGCAGAGACGACGGCGATCTGGGAATCAGAGGCGGCGGAACTATGTTTTCTAGGGGCGACGGCGACTCAGTCGTTCTCAGGCAATGACGAACGCCTTGACGGCTGCCTTGGGTGGTTCTGTACGGCGCCGTGGAGAGGGTTGAGGAGAGGGTCGAATAGTGTGTGTGTGTGTGTGTGTGTGCAGTGCCGTCTCCAGAAATTTG